TTCTAGTACTCTCTATATTTCTCATAGACACAATTTCAAATATGATTTCGTACCAGAGATTTTGGTACCTCGCATTTGGACCAGAGCCTATATATGGAGTTAATGATCCGTGTCTGGCACTCTCGTCATCTTTTTCGTTGCCTGTGATACCAAGTGTCCTGACACACAGTATATATTCCTGTCCGCCATTATTCCCAGTTCAATGTCATCATCAGTGCTCCCCAAGTGCAGCCTGGCTGTCTATGGAAATATACCCGCTCATTTCAAAGCTGCAAATTAATAGTCCTTGCGCATTGCACGATTACGTACACTTCAGACTGGAAGACTGGCCGAGTTTGTAACTGTAATGAAGATTTCTCCACGCGCAGTTAATTTCAGGTCCTCTTCCTCGTTCAGTTTTCGACCCGTCTGTATACCAGGTGTTTATACCGAGCATGTTCCCAGTGTCATGTACTTCGACACATTGTAATTTTTTTTTGCTCATGCATCTCGATTAATTTTTAGTTTGAATTTGCCCATCATTGATTTCTCCAATACAGCTATTGAAGTGATTTTCATTGCTCTTGTTATTCTCAAACACGTAACTCTTGGCACCCTGCTTAATTTGGTAATGGCGGTCATATGTTTGATCTTTACCCATGATTGGTTAATTTGGTCGCAAGTACCTACATTAGATTTTGGAAGTTTTGAATTTATTAATTTCCATAATTACTAGATGGTTGAGTGACTAACCTTTTTTTTTTGGAAAGGAGGGTTTTGAATTCATGATTGAACACGTGTTCCTCTGTAAGAAGGTGAGTAACAAACGTTGAATTCATTTTTCAATTCTGGAAATTGTTTCTATTCATAAATGGCAACAAACTCTTGTTTTTATTGTTTTTAAAATGCATGATCAAACAATTATTGGTTTTATACGCCACACTCACACTTTGTTTTTCAAAAATTTAGAATTCTTTATTGTTGTTTCGCCCAAATAGGTTATCCTTATCTCTTAGAATTGGATAAATTTCCTCAATGGCTTGACTATCTATTGGTTTGTACTGTATTATTAAATTTAGTTTTTCACTGAAATTTCCATCGGACAAAGGAACATCCAATAGTTTGTGAATCATGCTGTTAAACGCTGATATAGTATTTCCAATAACAATTGGAACAGCATAGAGATGGAATTCTCCCTCCTCGACATAGGCGTCGGCATATTATTTTTCATTGGTAGTTTTTCAGTTACTTATTCTTACAATCATAGTAATTGATCACCCCATAAAGAAATGAAATGTTTCTAAACTAAATAGTTGTAGGAAAAACCCTACACTATATAATCTATTTTTTAGATTTTCCAGATTTCCTCAAACCTTCTATTTTGACTTCGATTCCTATATCAACACGGGAAAAATATATCGAAAATAAGTTTTTTTTCAATTAATATAAAGACATCAACTACAAAGGTTGGTAGCGTTGTGGTACAATATGAATCACATTACAATCATATTAGATGTACAATATTTATAGATAGTAGATATTGAGTTCTTCGGGTAGTCCTACTGACGGGCGGGTTGGCTGTCCTAGTTCATCTTCCACTGCCTAAGCCATTGTGCATGCTGCTTTCGGCGAATGCATTGGCTTGGGATGTGGGGGTTGAGCAAACCGGCCATCGGATGCCTGCTTCCACGTAGCCCCGCTGGAGATACGGGGCATCCTGAATGGCATCCCAACGATAGCTTAATTCTAAGGTGTGTGTATCCGTGCCGAGAGGATGAATGACACTGAACCTATCAGCTGTCTCTACGAAACATTCGCGATACCGGGCCCCCTCTCGTCGTAGCATCGCCTTGTCACGGTAATGCGGGGCTCTGCCGTGATTGACGTTCTTTCCCTACCTACTAGTGGGACCTTCATGGGCAGAGTTAACTTAAAAATTTTTCTGACGACGAGTCTACAGAGGAGGTGGATGTCGAGTTCACGTCCCCAACTGATCTTCCTTTAAAATTTAATCCAGGAGCGAGTCTACAGAGGAGATGTATGTCGAGTTTACGACTCCAACTGACCTCTCTGTAAATCTAGTCCAGCAGCGAGTCTCCAGAGGAGATGGATGTCGACTTTACGACTCCAACGGACCTCTCTGTAAATTTAGTTCAGGAGCGAGTCTACAGAGGAGATGGATGTCGAGTTTACGACTCCAACGGGTCTCCCTGTAAATTTAGGTAAGGAGCGAGTCTACAGAGGAGATGGATGTCAAGTTACGACTCCAACGGACCCCACTGTAAATTTAGTTCGGGAGCGAGTCTACAGAGGAAAAGGATGTCGAGTTCACGACTCCAACTAACCTCTCTGTAAATTTAGTTCAAGAGCGAGAGCTGCGGCGTACGCAGAATCTGTCTCGTTTGGGGGAACTAACCCCCCATGAGCAGGTTAGCAAACGTTTGCGCTCAAGTAAGGTTTCACAAAAACCAGAGGCAAAAAAGCCCTGCACGGTTGAATCTAAGGCATCGTCAGGTGTAGCTGACGTGCAAGAACCCTCATATGGGAAGGTTGCCGTGGATATCGAGGTGGGAATCTTGCAACTCAACTATCCGACTACCTCATTAACAGAGCATATACTTTGTGTCCGCCCTGCTGGGGACCGAATCAGGTCTTTAGAGTTCGGCAGAGCCGCACTCTTACCATCTGACCTGAACGACCACTCACCATACAAACTAATCGGCTTCGTTAAGAAGCTGGGTTTGTTTGACCGAGTGAGAATAGGTGTGGGCCATAAAAAACCCTTGCGGGTTGCGGTAAAGGGTCGAATAGACCCACTCACTTTGGACCTAACCTAAGTTATTGACAACCTCTCCTCTCTATAGTCAGAACACACCGTGATAACATGTCCAATTGAATTCTTCATCACAGGAAATACATCTTTTGGGGTTTTCTTTCTTCAGTAGATGCTGGTGGGTGTATTCTGTGTGCCAATTCTAAGACGGATTAGAATTGTCTGATATTTACGAAAGAGTGATAAGTGATTTTATAAGTTTGATCTAGGATAGATTTTTTTGAGCTTGTTATTCTCCAGAGCTTGCAACCTTTTCCTCCATGTATTGATTGCTAATCATCGTATATTATGGATCAAATCCTCATGTGGTTCATAGCGAATCGTAAAATGTGTGGGTTTGAACTAATCTCTCTAACTAGTGTGTCAGCAGTTTCGTTGCCAACTATTTCTACATGCGAAGGAATCCAAACAGTTTTGATACGTTTTCCCATTTCAGTTCTTCAGTTTTTCCAATCCTAATTTGATACACAAAAGAAGGGTATAGCTTTTGTATACCCGGCATAGCATTCAGTGAGTCGGTGAAGACGACGGCATCCTCCCCATGTTTCCTGCAGTATGCAGTGGCTATGGCGAAATGTGTACATTCCTCAAACCCACCATCCCAATCGAAGTTTCAAACATAATTAGGGAACTCAAAAATAACAAAGCATCCGGGATTGATAACTTCAAAAGTGAAACACTAAAACTGGTTGTGCAATATTTTGCGAAACCCACATCACAAATTCTTAATCGAGTATTAGAAACAAGGCACTTTCCGACTTGTCAATATTGTAACGAATTAATGAATTAATTGTCTTGAACAAATTTATTTTTAACAATATTTCACTATCACAACTAATTTATGTACAACACTTAGCAACTAACGCTTAATTTATCTTCACAGTTAGATTTCTTTCTTTAAACGCACGATTCACTTTCTAAGTAGAGACTGCCTGACTGACTAGAAGCGGCGCCTTTTTATATCGGCAACGATCGCTCCGCATCTCTCTAGGTATTTCGGGACTCATCTACCCCGCGGTGTTTCGCGATGAGTCATGCGTTTGCTGACTGAGATATCGGTCAGGGCCGGCTTCAGATTCATTACAATATCAATAGTTACTCCGATTTTCAAAAGTGGAAAATAGAGACGAAGTAATTAAATATAGATCACAGCATCCCTAATAACCAGTCACGGCAAGATTTTGGAAAAATTATTCAAAGTAAGACTAAATCTTTCTTAAAGAGCACAAAGTAATGTCCTATTCACAATTTGAATTTAGAGACGGAAAATCTTCTCAAAACGGATTTAACAGATTATATTTACAAAGCACTGGATACGAGCGAGTCCACAATAGGTGTTTTTTAGATTTATCGAGAGTATTTCATACTGTTAACCATTATATTTTGCTATTATGTCTAGAAAACATTGGTATTAGGGGCCACGCATTGAAATTATTCAAATCATATCTGATAAATATGAAACAAGAAGTGAAAATCAAAAACATTGAAAGTGGCGAAGAAATATTTGAATGTGGGATACCCCAGGCAACGGTTCTGGGACCAATATTATTCTGAATATATTTGAATGGAATATTTAAGGCAGGCCCATCTGGACACATTATCAGTTTTGCAGACGATACCGTTATAGTTTACTCTGGAGAAACATGGTCGATGGTAAAGGAACAGACAGAAAAGGACCTAGAAATAATCAAAGACTGATTTGATTATGGACAACTGTCTCTGAATTAGGATACCTACTACAAGTGTTCTCTGTGGATATAATCAGCATTCAGAAGTCTTCAGAAATAGGCGTATGTACGCATCTTAGATATTTAGCAGTTATAATAGATTCACATTTGAGATGGGATTATCACATTCATTATTTGAAGAAGAAATTAAGATGTATACTTTTTAAATTTCGACAGCTCAAAGAGATTCTGGACTTGAAACTCAAAAACATTGTTTGATTTTTCACTTGTACGAAGTCATCTAATATAGGTACTGCATAATGGGATAGGGCGGTATATCAAAAACCTACGTTCGCCACTGGAAGTATTTCATAGAAAGTTCCTAATCATAAACTCTAAGGAGAAAGTGTAATACTTGTGTAAAATGGTTATAATTTAGGAGTAATTAATAGTTCTGTTTGAGAAAGATATTTGATAGCGAAACACGTGTCGAAGTTTTCAGAAGGGATAAGAAAATTATATTAGTTAGTTAGTGAGTTTTATTAAATTGCGACTTCGAAGAAGTTTTCACACAATTTTGTTGAAAAGGTGTTCTGGAAGGTGCAAATTAGGAAAATTTGTGAATTTGTATGCTGCTATCGAAATTTGTTGATACTCAATATAGTCCTCAGCTGTTCTAGACATCAGTTCTAGTTTAAATTTAGGTGATGGTGGTGCAGTCTCCACTGGATCAGTAAATTCCGAAGTTGCCTCACTGGTACTTTCATCAATGTAACTAGACGTGCCACTTTCCGCTGGCTCTCTTGCGAACAATTTGGTGCCTGCATGGTCTTCACTTTCTGTAGATAAAAATGTGTAATAGTTCAATTTACTTTCATCAGTTCGGACTTCCGTTGTCTAATATGATATAAATTGATTTGAAATCCCTGAAATAATCTGTAAAAAAATTTACGCATTTAGCCAAGCTAACGTAGAGATACGTAACATATGGAAACCTCTAATCAAGCGGAACACAACCAACTGCCGCCGTCAGCTCCCGCTAAAAACCAATGAAGCGGAGAGAGGGAACAGGGGAAAGGTGAAAGCAGTCGAATGACCTATAAATAGTCAGATCAGATCTCGAAGGAATAAGTCCAGTCATCACCCGAAGACGATTGTGGATACTAACAATCGTAACGTAGTGAAGTAACTTGATTTGGAATTTGGTTGTTGCTTGTATGTTATTTCATTGTAATTTCAGTTCATGAAATGCACCTCGAAACATTGTCAACCACCTTCAAACCAAATTCAATTTAAATGACGCAGTAAAACCCTTAAACACTAAAATAATCTTTTTTCAATTTCCTGATTTTCTCAAATCCTCTATTTTGATTTCTGTTCCTAAAAGTGGTTTTGTAAAAAATTCAGCAAGCTATTGATTACATTAGCCAAAATATTTGCGAAATTGCCGAAAAAGAGATCATGGTGTTTTTAGATGAAAACAAAAGATTAACAAAAATGTACCTACATTTTGTTTTCCAAATAAAAGAGGAACATACCGTTCAAATCGATATTAACTATGAGAATGTCATCTGATTCTACTACTAGAAAAACAAAATCTGAAGTATAGTTTCGGTTTTGGGCCACTGGCGTAATTGTAATCTTCTCTCGCTGCAATTTAACAACAATCTTACAAAATACTTAGGTCAGATTGATAATAGTGTCATAGTTGGTGATATCAATATAAACATTTTGAACGATTATTTAGACTATGCTCAGGAGTAGGTACCTACCTCAATATTCTGACAGAAAACGGACATATTTCAACTAACAAGCACGCTTAGAGCTTCTGTGATTTCTTGTTTATTCATACATAAATCTTAAATAATTCATGTAAATTGGCAGGATGAATAAACTTTATTATTATTATTATTATTATTATTATTAATATATTTACGAGAGAAAAACACGACCCTTTGATAAAAAAAAGTTTTGATATTCGTACGTTATTTTGCAATTAATTAAAAAAAAATGAAAAAAAATTGAAATTCAGAGCATTCCATTTATGTGACTGCATTATTTGTGACCGAGATTGTACTTCTTCAAAAGCGTTAATTAACATTCTCCTTGGTCCTAATGCATACTTTGACAGGTTTAGCGAAGTCTCGAATTCTTTTCTAGTTTTAACAAGCTGTAGGTGTAACATAATTTTTCAAAAACTAGTGCAAGTTAGAAAAACGAATATTTACGTAAGAGTCAGTAGAGTCATAGAAAAAGTTTGGTACTCTACTCGAATGAAATTACGATACTTGATTTTAGCTTACGTCAACAAAACTCCATTCTCATGATTATTACCCATATTTTTAGCTCTCAGATCTGAGATTACCGATATTGTTTTGTTCACCAAAAATCCTCACCTGTTTTTTCATTTGAAATGACGACGGTTCCCGATGAACTCGATTCTGTTGAGCCAGTGACTAGCTTGCCTTCACATCGATAAAGTATTGGGTGTTTCAAAATCAACGTTTGATATAGAGTTTCGTTTTTTCTTATGACGTCTTTCTCGAATATTTCATTGTCGTTATCCTTCTTTACATTCGTGCAGGTTGTGATTAGAATGATACTTTTGTTACAGCCACTGAGGTTTGCCGCAAATTTCCATAAAATCGCTGGGCCTGGAGTTATTTTTGTAGTGTTGGTTGCGTTGTAGATAACTGGTGGTTTTAAATCTGAAAAATAACTGAGGATAATCAACTGAGTCTTTCAAAAGAATTAGTCATTAGATACTTGAATTTCAGATCAGAATATGAATATAATAATTCATTAAGTGAAAGTGAAATAAAAGAAAAATTCTGAAAACTGCTTCAACATTCTCGATGTAATAGTTAACCTCTAAAAATTTCCAAATGTGATGATGGTTGTCTAATATCTCTTTCAATGGTCTTTTCCTCGTCCATTCTTTTTCAATTCGGAATCAATTGTAGAATCAAATCGCAAAGCTCGAGCACTATGGAGTAACGGGAATCCCACTCAATCTCGTAGAGTTCTATTCAACCAACCGTCAACAAGTGGTATCTGTCAACCTGTACCTGCCAACCTGTATCTGCCACCTCGTTACAGGTTCATACTGATCATGCATGTAACAGAGATCTATCCTAGGGTCACTGTTGTCTACCATTTATGTCAAATGTTCCGGATATGTGTACTATATTTGCTGATGACACTTCGTTAATAAATTCGTTTCATAGTCGACAATGAACTCATGGCGACTACTGTATCTATAGCTGAACTCAAAATAAACAGTGAAAAGACTCGGCACATCATATTCTCCTTGATGAAAAATTTTCGAATAGATCTACCGTTAAACTTCTGGAGATAAATTTCGATGATGAATTAAAGGGAGTAGTCACATAAATCATCTATGCAATAAACTATTTTTGCTACGAACACTGATGAATATCATGGACAAAGGTGTGATTCAATTAGCACATGAGCTATGGTACCATATTATGGAGAAATTCTAGTCAGATAATAAGAGCATTCAAGTTGCAAAAGAGAACATTGAGTCGAAGGTACGGTCTACGACCAACCTTGTAGGCTCTTTTTCAACCGATTTTTATGTCTTCAGCCCATTTTTATATCTTCAGAATTAGTCATCGATTCCGAACACCTTGTATAACATTATGAAAATGTTACTACTACAAGACGATGGAATGAAGTATTTTCATGAATCAATAATAGCTTACTGATGTATTCTATCAAACTTTTGAATTTTATGGTGAAATCACTCAAGAGCCAAATACCTATTTTTTTTAAGTAAGCGAATGAATATCTCGAGCAAGGTTCATTTTTAATTTTCAGAATATGAATCCGATTATTCCTAAATATACGGCTTACCGACAGTCATCGCGCTGTACCCTGTATACATCAAACCCTCATTGAGTTATACAAAAATAGAGAAAATATAAAGTTGAGCTCAGACTTCCACAACAATCCCATCAAAAGTTATGGCCAGGTGAGGGCAAACAGCTTCAGACTGATCATATTTTCTTTCAACTCTCCCAACTTGAATTTTACAACAAACTCAAGCTCAGTATACATCTTTTCAAAAGAAGGATAAAAACATTGACTGAACATCGTTTCTATTCAGTAGAAGAAAACATGAACTCCACAATTTACTAGTACATTGCTTCTAATAACAAAATTTAAAATGCCCATAATTTTGGCATCTGGGCTATACATTCTACGTTTCCCCTTGAATTTTTTTTCATCTTCACATTTATTTGTGTACAGTTAGCGCCCTTTCACACGGGGAGCTTTAAGTCTCTCGCTCCCGAGAGAGAGAAAGGCTCTTAGCGCCAAAATGCAACGAGTCCAATGGAGCTTTCAGACGAAGAGCGGAAGACGCCACGTCTCAGGAGACGGGAGCTCTCACATCTCCTGCACCTCGAGTGAGGAGCCACGTCTCTTCCTCAAAATGCAGAAGGGTAAGTGGGGGCTTCCACACAAGGAGTAATACCCAGTCTCCCTGGTTGACGCTTCAAACTATTTATTATGGCAGATTACGATGAGGAGTTGTTAATTAGTGCTGTCTGCAACCAACCGACTCTTTGAGATAAAAGTCTTGACACTTATAAGAACCGAAATAAAGTCCTGAAAAGTTGTCTGCAAGATGATCCACGTAGATTTCGCATCTTCATCCATCCCATTCTTGATCGTTGACGAATCTGTCGACGGTAGAGAAGGTATATGGCAACAGCTACGGCTGACCTCAAGGAGCCAGGAACTAAAATGGCTCCTGGTGTGAATGGGCGGTATGTAGGAGTGATAAACGCTCCCGTATAGGAGCGAGAGACGTGAAGCTCCCTGTGTGAAAGAGTCCTTACTGTCCAATTTATAACCTGCTACTCGTGTAATTTGTTCATTATATAGTTAATAATGTTTAGTGTTCTTCACTTTATGCTGGAACCAAATACTGGCACAAAAACGCAGAAAGGGGTTCATGTAATATTGATAAGTAAATATCCCAATCGTTAAATCTCTCAACTCACAGTGAAGAGAATTGATCATAAATACCGAGAGTCTGAAGGCACAAAGGATATTCCCAAACTAGGTGGGACTTACAAGATGACTTACATCAAAGAAAATCCACAGAATCCACGAAATAATGTGCCACCAAAAATGATCAAAATTATTTTTAGTTTATGTTGAAACCAATATGAAATTTGAATGTTTCATTGCGATGCGACATGAGATAGGTGCCTGTGCAAAAGTGGAGATTCATGTTGGCAGTTGATAGTTTTTTCCGGTCATATCTGCATATTTTGTTACGCATAAGGGCCGACAAATTATGGAATGAATCCCTGGCATTTCGCTAGCACGCATGACTGACTTCTTCAGAGCTACTTCCATCTCAGTTCGCTTTCAACATCTAAAATGCAACCACGTCTGTGTCAAAAGTTCACCCTTTTCAGGGAAAACTTTTCAGTTCATCCTTTATTATACTTGAACCTACTCTGTGTTGATTTGACTTTGTACATTTTTCAAATTGTACAATAATACACACGGAAACACTGATGAACAATCGAGAGAGATAATACGAATCCCTGGAGAATATAATAATAATAATAATAATATACATATATCTTCACTATACATAGTGAAGATATATCCTACAGAGAACCATATATGGTCACTTTAAGAAAGCTGGAAAGCGACGAAAAAAAAATATCTGTCAATTCGTGACAAGCTCAAAGGATTATCAGGCTACATCATTCGAAAGCTTTGGAAATATCAAGCACAACATCCACATACTCTTCAGAATTCCAAAAATAGGTGGAATATGGAAAAAGACCGTCTATTAATATTTGTTATTAATCTAAGCAGAGAAAAGTTTGCAAATGATCTTAAATCCTTCCATTAATAAGCTTTGTAATAACTGAGACCTGTTTTTATTTTTTCAGTTCCAACGTTGAAACTACTCTTTCTGAATAAAGATAGTCATATCGAAATTGAGAACAAATATCTATTAGTAACATCCTGTTGTTTATTTGGGAGATTTTTTCCAGTTAACGCCAAAGGGCGTAGTACTACAGAATTGCCATCTCTTTCTTCCGATACGAATCCACTTGTTTATTTTTTATTCGGTTATCAGAAATCGACCGTAAACCGGAAGAGGTGAGACAACATTGAAAGTTTCAGTAAAATACCAAGAAATATAATCTACGGCTGTTAAGATACAAACGTTTCATTCTTATACATAAAAATATATGAAAAATATCAATATGATTTTTATTGATTGTTTTTTATTCAACAAAAGAAATTTTCAAAAGTCACAGATCTTATATATGAAATGAAAAAATAGCAATGTATTTGCTGAAACACTTCAAATCATATCGATTCCATGACACATTGATTTGGGAAGACATACTTTGATTTTTTGAACTTTGTACCTACTCATATATCAAGATCGAAAAAAGTTCGATACTATTTTTGCTTAAGTAGGTTTATTGATAGTGCTGCATATAGTTTTTCAAGTGTCTTCATGTTGCAATTGATAAAATGGAGTAAGTTGTGGAACTTTTTTCAACCTATCGATATAATTTGATATCGCTGCTTTGAGTGTCAATATATGTAAGTTGTATTCACTTGGCTTCACAAGTAACTTTTTTTCTATGGATGAAGTCGTATTTAAAGAATAAAAGAATATATGTTTGCTAGGTCCTTTCAGTTCAATTCAACAAGTCAATTGAACCTTACCATCTCAGATGGCAATGAGAGATATTGTAAAATAGTTGAATAGTTTGGTGTACCAGTAACTAATGAAGCTACCAAACGCATTTTGAATGAAATTTACTGTGAAAATTGTAAAATTCTTATCATGGATACAGTGAGATATCAAACATATGTTTGCAGTATTAATATCACGATCTGCAGATAAATATACGTTAACAGACTGTAGTGGATATATGATTGTAGCATGATGGAAATTGGTGTTTATTTTTTATTGAGTTCAACGGCAGGAAAAATTTTATATTCAAAAGAACAGATTAAGACTCATCTGATTGGCAGATCACAATCTGTTAAGGTTAGGCTCAAATCTGGAATATATCATTCTGAAAATCGTAACATATTAACAGGTGTTCCCCAAGGTAATGTCCTGGGCCCTACTCTCTTTCTCCTATTCATCAACGACATCTCTAATATTAATCAACAACATTATACTCTACAGCTTGCTGATGATACGTCCTTCTTATTGAGTTCTTCTTCTTGTGAAGGGTTATGTGACCAGGCTGATATTGCAGTTGCTAATATGCTTAATTACTGCGCCAGAAACGGCCTCGTAATAAATAGTAATAAATATAATACCATTCTTTTCTCGCTTAGAGAAAAGGACTGCAGTATATTGGTTAGAGCTAATACTAAATCTATTGTGCAGAAAAAATCAGTCAAATTCTTAGGGTTGAACATTGACTCCCAATTATCCTGGAATGATCATATTGACTCTATTTCTATAAAATTATCCAAGCATTGTTTCGTTATTTGGAAGCTCAAAAATTCTGTCCCCATAAATATTTTATTAAGCTACTACTATGCCTGTGTTCACTCAAGTCTAAATTATTGCTTAGTCTGCCACAGCAGCAAAGCAAATGATCTGTTGATTGCTCAAAAAAAGATACTAAGAACCATGTGTTTTAAAAAATATGGTGATTCTTGTAAGCAGTTATTTACTGAGTTACAAATTTTAACTGTGATATCCATGTATATTTTAAGTTGTGTCACTTACATTAAGAATGAATGCCATGAGTTTCAGCAAAGGTATACTATCCGCATAGCTGCTGGTTATACTCTTAGGCAAAATTATAATCTGATAGTTCCTGTACACAAATTAACATCTGTATCAAACGGACCTCATGTTATGTCTATAAAAATATTTAATAAACTTCCAACATTCATTAAGAAAATTTCAAATCCCATTAATTTCAAAAATTGCGTTAAAAATGTTCTCTACAAAAATGCCTTTTATTCACTTGATGAATATTTTCTAACTGATCTGGCTACTTGACATCATGATTGTTTGCATGCGTTTACTATTCTACTGTTTATACTATGTTTTTTTTAATTGTTTAATATAATCATCTCCTACATCTACTATTGATTTTTTTTTATGTATGTTCCATATTTTATCACTTAATATTTTTCAACTCCAATCTTTACTGTGTATATGACGATTTCCATGCTTGTAAAAAAGTCTCAGGAAAAATAAAATATTGTAAACTTTTGCAGACAACCTTTTTACAGTTCCATTAAATCCATAGCAAGGTCTTTTGTCGTGGACTGTGAGTGCCATTTGGTTTTAAATTCTTAAAAATGTTGGCACAGACTAAAAAGAAAGGTTTTTATTGCTGTATTGAATGGCACCTATTTTGATCATAACAAGTTATTTTAAATGTATATTTTTGGAAAACAATTTTTAATGGTTTTAACTAAGAATTCATCACTTCACATATTTGAAGAGAACTGGCTGATACTTGAAGGAGTTTACCCAATTCTAAGAGATGAGGATAAAAGTTATGGAACCTAAACATACTAAGGCCAACCCACTACGAATATTTAAAATTTTGTGCACAACAAAGGGGTAAATATTGCTTAGGCAAGCACATTAAGAATAACAAAGATAAAAGTTCAGTTTCAGAAAAATCGGGAGTGTATAAATTATCATGTGGGTCATGTCCGATTTATATATAGGTCAAACTGAAATAACGTTCAAAGCTCGCATAAAAGAACACAGAAATAGTTTTCAGAATGGAAAAATAAACTTCACATATGCCACTCATTTAATACCAGAGGCACAAGAATTTAATCATGAATTCAAGTCCCTCCATTTCTAGAAGAAAGGTTTGAGACTTGAACTGTTGGGGGCATGGAATTAAAAAAAAATGAAAACTCCCAATATCTTATAAACGGTAAAACTGAACTGAATAATTCTCCATTATTAAATCTGTTTATTTCCAGTTGAGAAAAGTTAAGTATAATTAGGGTATTTATGGAAATTTAATTTATTAATATAGTTAATGAATTTATACCCGACCTTTTCAGATAGATTCATTCATAAGAAAGTAGGCAAACAAGTAGGTAATATGTTAGAGTATAAAATAGTTATAGTTCAGAAGTAACTTATTATTAACGCTTGAGAAAGTCATTGTATAGCGAACACGTGTCGCAGTTTTTGTAAAACCCTTCACAATGAAAATCATTAAAAAAACTGACTTCATAAATTGATACTTTGCAATCCTTCTGTCCGTCTAGAATTTGCGGTAAATGTGTTCGTGAAGTTTCCGCTAATTTTTACAGAGAATGATATCGGATATATGCTACGTGTTCTTTGAAAAGAGTTCTATGTCTCACTTAGTCTGACCGGAATATTTTTGTCACAGTCCTCTCAGCTTATTTCCCATTTTCTGACTTTTCTTTTTCCAACATCTTTTCTTTAGGATGACCTAACATTTGTTTGAAGTGAACAAGAAATTTTGAAGGCTACTTTCACGTTCAACTTTTTTAAAATACAATTTAATCCGTTAATTTATCTTGGTTCATACGGAAGGACAATAACCTATGAATCTGTCTTTTTGAAAAGTCGAAGATTCACTAAAATTCTTCCAAAATTTACGTTTCGTAATTAACGTATCTATTAGATGTGAAGAGTACCCATTGCTTTCAGATATGTTCCTGATAACATTTTTTTCAATGGACAAGAAAGTTCAAACCTGCCATTTTGTGTCGTGGACAATTGTATGTGTCATCCTTTAGTCATCAAATTCTAAACCCTGGTAACTCTTCGTTATTTTCAATTCAATATTTGGAAATATGTTGTTAGTAGTTGAATAAAAGTAGTCTACCTTTGGTTTCCTCGTATCAAAAATTGCAAATACATCGTCTACATATTGGATCCAAGTCCATGGAAAGTAATCTTACTCATCTTTTGCTTCCAATTCAAATCTGGTTGTAAACAGATTACCTATGAAAAGGGGTAAAGTGGGTTTCCCATTGCTGTGCCTTCATTTTGTCTGTAGAAACAGTTGTTGAACTGGATTCCATTCAGATTTCTGTTAATGGAATGTAGTCTTCGATTACTTCTCCACTGAGACCATCGACCCTTAACAGGAGATCCCTCGAAACAACTAAGATACATCAAGTGAAACTAAAATCTCTCCGTCTTTCAAGTGTGGCATGAGAATTATAGACAGTTACAAAGATCCGATTTCAAATAGCCCAATGTTTACCTTTTTATGAATCCCATTTTTAAATTTCGCGGGAACTCTTCCTAGAAAATTCCCACAAATGTTAACCCAAAATCATTATTGTTTATAGGAAAGTGAAAGTAAGAGTGTACCCTCTTGCATATATTAGAGAATTCTAGAGTTAGAAATTAGTTTTCTTCATCTCCTGAAGACGCCAACTTGGTTGGTGAAACAAGAGTCGAAGAGAGTATTAAAGTCAGCTGCGTGAGATGTCACCTTTGGAAGCAACAGTTTTTTTAAATAACGGCGTCATCCTGAAATATGTGTGTCTGTGATAAAAGTATATATGACTCTGAGCCCACTCATATCACTAACGGGACCTGCGAGATACCAGACGCCTTGCCACAGTAATTAAAGGCTTATTGTCAAGATCGATTTCTTTTTCCTAGCTACTCTGGACACATTATGAACCATGCAGTAACGAAAGAATTCGAGCCGAGGTTAACATAGATGATGGACTTCGAAACAACTCCAACTATCCTCCCTGGAACATTGGATCAAGAGCAAGAGCTTCTCAGTTCCTCAACTCTTGACCCTAATAAGAAACTTAGGAGACTAGGTACCGAAAAATTACCTTGCACTAAATTCTTTAGCAGCAGGAGATAAATCAAAGTACCCTTGACCAGGTCAGCAAAAATTTACGCTTTAATGATGATTCAAAATGGAGGCGAACAAACTATGTTTAGCTGAATCTAATATATCGCCAGACATAGCTCCAAAACAAAAGTAGTTCCCGATAAAAGAGGCCTGTTGCGGATCTGATTAGGTTTTTAGCATTTGGCTGAGTCCCAATATTGTCAGCCGACTTGACACAAAAAAATCGGTTCAGTTAAGAAGCTAGATTATTTGGTGTGTGAACTGTCAAAATGTCCATTTTGACTGTGTGAACTGTCAAAATGTCCATTTTGACAGTTCGCACTGACGTTTCCTCTTCACACCAGGATTTCAAAGAAATTATATTTTTTTTNCCCTTCTGAAAGTGACCCACCCTGTTTGGACTCTTGCTTGACCAGATGTTATGGTGAAGCGAGTTCGCCAAAGTGGTATCAGTTGTTCAATGCATCTCACTATTTTGTCGGATACCGCAAGGCATCCGAGCAAATGCAAGATGAGCTCATGCGAAATTGTATCAAATGTCTTACGGTAATCGATCCAGGCCATAGAGAGGTTACGCTTATATTGTATCCAGTCCTGCGTTACATTATTATTATTATTATTATTAGGTACCATTTTTCCGATGAATAATGAACTGAACTGAAAAAATTGATGAATGTAAAGATAATGAAAATATCTTTCAAACGAGTTACCACGTATTCTGTTTGAAAATTTCCTCAAAATCTTTTGTGGAAATAAAACTGAAAGAACTATAGAAAAAACGGGAAACCAGGGGTATACTATGAATCATTTTTAATAAATTTTATTTCTATACAAATTTAATATTGATACTATGTGAAATTTTAATCAGGTAAATTAGTAGTAGGTATTTGACTGTAGAAAAATAAACTGTGATTTGGGAAAAATATGTATCGAGTGAGTCATTTCCTATATACCAATTTCAAAACATTTATCAAAATGTACTTATAGGTAAATATTAGTCTCATTTATTGGGTTGTAATCCACAGATAAGGGAAATATTGTTGTACAACTAATTCAAGTTTGATACTTGATACCCATCAATTCCAATATAAGGAAATAAAACAATATCGACATAAAGTTTAGCGCGTATAGTTAACAATGTCATAATTTACTTACAGGAGCAGTCATCTAATTCATTTCCGCTAATTCGAACCATTTTCTCTTTTTCCATCACCAAGACAGAATTTCGGGGTGGAGCCTCGGTTGCTTCCAAAAACCAATCATTAGCGGTTTCACCAGAAATCTTTTCAGTTTGATAGATATCATCTGCTCTTCCAATTGCCCAAGCAAAGAGAAACAGCGTTAAAAACAAAACACATAACACCACTCTCATACTCATTTCGGAAAAACTGCACTTCCCTTCTGGATCATGGACGTGAAATTATATCGAATCAAAGCAAGGAGGAAGTTGTTATCAAACTACAGCAGTCATATCCCGCACTATGGCTTTTTTATCCAACCGCATGTTACGAGAAGCAAATTATTTCTTACCGAGTAAGCAAAATGCGATATACATGTCTTGAAAATAAATGATAGCGGCGTTATCTGCGATTATTCAGTGATAAACAGTCGCTATCTCTGCGTAATTGCATTATATCGGGGCCTCCAAACAATTGACTAATTTCGGGAGTTAGTACGAGATGCGCGCGGAAGCTGTCATGGCCTGGCTGGATGTGCCACTGAGGATGATATTCCGTAGTGATAAAGTACGGCCCCCTTTGAGAAGCATCTGGGCTATTTATAGAATGCATTTGTTTCAACTTTACATAGGCATTTTGGGAAATTGGTTTAATTATTCTCTGCTGATATGGTGTTGCGGATGCATAATAAAAGACAGTGGCGTGGAGAAAGGAGAAAATCTATTTTACCGTAGTTAGATTTTTCATATAGGTCTTAATACTTTTCTCGGCTCATGTTTTCAGAAACGAATTTGGATTCATCAGGAAATAATTTACACTAATTTAAAAAAAATAACTTAGTCTATATATTTCGCCAGGAAACTCTTCTCCTAAACATTAGAACTGTAACAGCCTTTTTTACGCGCGTTTTATCAATTGAATTGCGTCATCGGAAGTAATAGTCATAGGTATTCTTCTGGACATACTTCGAGTAGTCCATAAATTTCGTGTCTCCTGTGATCCAAGGCCTTACAATTCGCAAGCTGTCTCTGCCCCTCTGTTGGGACTCCCAGCCATCTATTTTTAGATTTTTCATTGAGGCCAGTAGTTCCTTCGAGAGTATTTTATTAATTCTGGCACATATATGTTGGCTCCTTGCATTGCCCTCTCTATGAGTATCTCCTAAATATTCTCGGAGCTTTATTATATCCAATTGGGGACATTTTCTATTGCTTCCATATACCAAATTATCCTACACTTTTTGGCTTTTCTAGTTTGTTGACTCATCCGTGCTAGATCTTTATTACACCAGGGAACATCCCTGCTAGATTTCGATCTGACTTCGGCCATTTCAGCATTTCACCAGTGATCATTGAAAGACCCCTCGAATATTAAATGTGAATTAACGATACTTTATTGTGAAATCGAGAGGGTTTGGAAAAGTTCTGTTAGCCACCTAGTTATCTTATATCTAAGCTAGGCTTGTGAATCATATCTTTTTGATACTTACTACATCTAAGATATGAACAACAACGGTCTCGATCTAAATGATCCTTCATTGAAGGGTTTTTAAATCACAATTCAAAATTAAAACTTGATAGGTATAATTGGAGCCTCCACACCAGAACAAAAATACTGTCTTTTCACGGGCTTATTGCCAACAAATTTGGTAGTATCATGAGATGACAAACTGTTTTAGTAATTTCCTAATGATGTTAATTTGGTTAGCGAAACGCGTCTGGGAAAAGTGTTTTTAATGAATTCAAAATTCTAGGCGAAGTAACTGAGAAAAGTTGAAACTAAATATGCTTATTTCGAGGAAACGTTCGAAAATGGAAGCTAATCTGCAGTGTGGTTCAGATAGCTCTTTAACACATGGATAATTCACGAAAATATAAAATATAATAAAAACGGTATCAAATGCCTTAGAAAGGTCGACAAAGATGCCCAGTGATGGCTTTGAGATATCGATTGATTTATATATGGAAGTAGTAAGTCTATATATTGCATCTTCTGCATATATATAGTAATAATATCGTCTTTATTATCTTTTAATATATTTAAAGCAAATTAATCAGGTACAGTTCACTTATTTATATGAAGATAAAAGGCGAAGTTCAATTTACATAATGACAAGTCGTCATTCAATTGCTGAAGAGTAATAGGTATATAGAATACTTATCTTGAAAATTTATTTAGAGACAAAACCGTATTTACTATCCATTCCATTATAATTTTCGAAAAATGGCAAGGGTGAAGTGGAGTTAGAAGAAAGTAGATGATAATTTTTTTTTATATAGAAAATTTGTTTTCGACTTTCTATTCCTGAGCCAATGACATTGACTTCTGTATGGCATTTGCATGTGGTAATGTGCCGTGAATCATCGGATGAGACATATTGCTAACAGATATATCAAAAAACTATATAAAATTTCTTATCTAGCTTTATACTCATTCGACATTATGTACCTAATAATCGTACACTTAACATATGCTCTCGTACATGATGAACACATTTTCTGGCATAGAAATCGTTGACACATGTTCGCTCCATATTTTGTTTATATTTCGTTGTAATTAATTGTTCGGTATTTCAATAGGACAAAGCTAGAAGTATATAAAGTGTGAAAACCTTTGAAACAACTCCGCAGTTTTCCCCCAACTTTGAAAATATCCAGAGGTGAACCCTGGCCTGTGAAATTCTCTTTCTTTGTCGAGATAATTATAATTTGGTGTTAAAATAAAACAAAAAATAAAACAGAGACAGATGTTTTTTCTCTTCAACCAACATATACCATTAGAAAACCCATTAATGAAATTTGGAGTTGATCCAAGCAATTTCGTTGCTTTGGCCTTCAAAGACAACTTGTTTACAAAAACTGAAAATATTCTTGAAATTCATTTTGGTCACAAATAAGAAGTATTTTTATGGTTTTTTTTTGAGTTTATAACCTTCCACAATCTGAAAAAATAGATTGAAAGCTAAATCAATACAGAATCTACTAAAGTGTAGTGAATGCAAACTGAGTTCACCCCGAAAAGTTTTCGCTTGATATAAACTACTGGTAAGTCCAATTATTCAGTAACTTGTCATATTCATAAATTTTGCCTACAAATAACTTAAATATTGATACTTGGTTTTTTTCAAGTGGTTAACGTTTCGGAAAACAACCCTTTTCTGTTTTCGAAACCTATATTCACTATAAAAATCTCGCCTCAAACTGTGATGATTCTAATTTCATTTGACAGCAAATTCTCTATTGATATTGCTTTTTATATTTTCAGATAGTGGAAGGTTACAAACCCAAAAAACACTATAATATATAGAGTTCTTCACAAAATAATGTAAAAGAATAAGATGTAAGTTCTTATACTTTACAAAGGCCCTCAAAATATTTGCTGCATGTGGCGTCGCCTTTTCTTGCCACAACATTCTGATTTTCTGAGTATATTGTAAAGGAGTTGTTGTTTCTCAACGTTATTTAGAGTTTTTCACCGCAAAAAGTTAAGGTGTTTATAAATCACTGAAGAGCCAAATTCGTCAGTAACTCGTATTTATAAATTTTGCCTACTAAATGAATAATTAATAGAAAATCGCATAAATGCTTAAAAAAGACTAATTTCAACATATTCTATGTATGGTACGATATTGGTTATGGGTAAAACATCCAAAAACAGCAAAAGAAAGTTATAACCTATGGTAATTTTCCACTTTGATAAAGTTTGCTGAAGAGCCGTCTCACTTATGCAATTAAAACCCGAACTCTGATGTTCCAAAAAAAATTATTCATATATTCGCATAAATGCTTATAGATGACCGATTCAAAAAAACATATGATCATTTTAGTAACAGTACGGTATTTATGGTACAAAAAATAATTTGAAATAGTGAGAACCAAAATTCTTTTGCTGAAGTCCCAGTCAACAACCAAATGTGGAAACCTGCCAAAGATAAAAAACACCAAACTTTTCAAAAACATGTATTGTTATACATAAGTAAATATGTATGGTTAATCATAAAAACCCCAATCCTGCCTAGTACAGCCTCTGGGGAGGTCCCATCGAAGACTTGACGTGCAACGACCTAACGTTTTGCCAATGTTTCTTCAACAGCGAAACCAAAAAGTTCACCGAAAGATGGACGTTTTGTACAAGTTCATCGGAATTCATGTCAACATGCCCAACAGCAACAGAAAGGCAAAGTACCTAGAACACGGTAGGAATTATTATAAGTAAAAACAGCATTTTATCAATCATCAATAATTCGACAAAACATGATTGTTGTGCAACTTTAAAGCCATGATTACCTTCAGTTGTAAAAATGGTAGTTATATCACACATTGCTTTCGCACCATTATTCCATACAAAAAAATTAGGTATACATGATCTTGTTGGCTTAATGGTGCAATTCAAACATTTAAAAACTTCAAAACAATACACACCTTTTTCATCTGGAACTTGATGGTTGCCTTGACCTCGTCAATCTTCTGAGTCATCGATTCTTGATGCGAGAGAAGACCAGGGAACTTGCCGGCTTTGTTTAGACCGGGTCCCAACAGCCTAGGGATCTGCTTGATGAGAGCATCAGAAGCAAGGAAAGCATCATACTTTTTTGCCAGTTTCTTGACAAGTTTTTTGTTTTTGTTCAGTTTCTTCAAGGCTTCCACGTCCATGAATGGTACTCCATTTGCCTTAGCTTCATCACAATGTTGCTGATCTCCAAGGACACATACTTGCATTTTTGGACGAGGTATGTGCTTCAATCTGTAAAAGGTTACTGGTATATAATGAAAATAATAATTAATATGCTTTATTGTTCAAAGAATAATCTTATTGATAAAGTTAACAGTTCTGTTATATATGAAATATCACAAAAAATTTATCAGCATTAATAGTAGAAAAGATTTTTAAAACTATAGGAAACACTAGCTGGCTACAAAGCTGCACCAGCAGTTATATTTCTTATTCAAGCCAAGAGGATAAAGTCAAATACAAGTCCAATATAGCTTTGAGTTTAATCAAATTAATTTTCGAAGTATCCATACCACAGGAATTCGACTGAACAAATGCATTTCTAAAGTACAGTTATGATTTAAAAATTGTTTACCCAATAGGTCTTGAAGAACTAAAGTAATGAATTATGGAATGAGAGAAATGAGTCTCATAATAATTTTCAATATTTATCAACATTTCTCAAACAAAGGAATAAGCAAATTCTTATAATTTCAGTCTAGTAGGACAGTTTAACAATCCATAATTCAATCATACTTTCGAGTACCCAATTCTCTTGTCTCGGTGCTTGATGGAAAGTTTATTTCAGCGTAACAAAAACTACAGAACAGAAAAGTTCACACAAGTTCTTGTTACTTGGAATGGTAACTATTCCAGATTCCAATCAAGTATATAAATTATTTTGATCACCCTTACAATGGAAAATAAATTATGGAAAAAATGTAGTGTAGGGTTAAAGCCAAAATTACATAGTTTGTAAAAATGGTAATTACACATTAATTTAGCATCATTATTCCATACAAAAAAATTTGGCATCCATTATTTTGTTGGCTTAATGATGCAGGACAGATAATGTACAAACACTACACAGAAGTTTGATTTTTTTACAGAAATCATATACATGGCCAATGGCAGTAAAACACATATAAGGCACAAATAATTTTGAATCATTTTAGGATCTTATATTATTCATTGCTTCATTTCAGAGATATTTATTGATATCTCAATTTCCAATAAATCTTAAAACATTCAACCAATGTAATACACAGTTCTAGTTTAAATTTCAATATTATTACTTTTAATTTACCCAGTTTGAAACTATTTACTTAGACAGAGTGAAGTGGATTAAAAATACTCTGCTCTCAACATGCTAAATAGATATTAAATATCAGGATAAAAAATATATTAAAATCCATTATAATTTTATTTGCATTGCACACATTGTGTGGTTAACAAGTTGTTATCTACCCTTGACGAATTACTATTGGAAAAATATAATTATTGAGATTTTTCTAAATTCATCATAAGTCCATGTTATGAAAACCAAGATGAATCTATTTCGCTTACAGCTTTGGAAATTTATGAATTACTGTAAATAACTGATTCATTTATGAATGACTGTAAATTGATCGATTTATTTCATTTATTGTCAACAGGATTTTTACAGGATTTTTTTTCTTCGACAGTAAAGTACATTTTGAATTGAAAATGAAAGAACTAATAATGTTACACCACCTATTGAAATTTTTGAATTATAATTCATATTATTTCTGTCCTAGTTTCAAGGAGTTTTAGTCTAGTAAGAGTTGAATCTGTCCGTTTCAAAATATGTTTTTCCGTTAATCAGCTGTCGCCCCCATACGAACGACAACTCTCAGAAGTTGAGAAACTTATGCAAGCTAAGGACTAACTAGGTCTTACCTTTTTAACGTGTGATTCCTAGCACGGTTGCAGAATCATCCCAGCTTCAACCAGATAAAATATCTCGAGAAAAATATCTGGCCGAGGCGGGAATCGAACCCACGGCCTTCCGATCGTGAGTCGGGCGCACTACCACCGCGGCCAATTCCACAACAGTGAAATTATCAAATAATTTATTTTTATATCTTATTTCAGTTCAAAATAAATCGCTCATTAGTATCTGTTACACAAAAATATATGTAGTAAGGCGAGTAATTAACATGTTCTTACTGGAATATGAGGGGTTCAAAGCTGAATTAGACCAAATCCATAATAGCGATGTTTTTCGGTAGACCCTGCATGATACTCCTTTAAAGGTCATTATTTTCAGTGCAGTAATGAAGCAAGTCCTTACTAAGTTTTTTAAGCTATAGATGGAGCGGATGTATTTCTACTGAGAATTATGTCGCATATCGTTCAGAGCATTAGTGAACCAAGTCCAAGTTACATTGTTCATGCTTTTTCTGTGTGAGAATATGAGTGTTATGGCGAATACCAATGAAGATGATGGTAAGTTATTGACTTTTAATATCATATGACTTGATGAAATGAAACCAGGAAATTGATATTATAAATCCTCAGCGTCAAATTCACGCAATTTTATGTAATTTTTGTATTCAGTTTTTGAGGTTATGTCGTCAATATAAACAGCATGAGTGAATTTCATGGACCTACCTCATACAGGGATTCGTTCAGTTTCAGATGATGATGTACCCCTGATTCAATTTTTACAACCCAACCAAAGACTACGTACAGCAGAAGTTAGAAATGGCAAGTAATAATCACTAACGTTCGCGAAGTAGGAGAACGTGGTCGGAAAAGAGCTCGCATCAAAGCGAATTGGGACAGGAATAAAAGAAAAATTCTGAGAAATAGTGGCAAAACTTACGAAACGAAAACAAAAAAATGTGTTCCAGCTAAATGTTTCAATCCTGATTATAACTGTGGATGCCGCAAGCAGTGCAGGACAAAAATCAATATTGGAGATTTGTCAACATTTTTCGAATCATTTTGGAAACTAGCAGATTACAGCACACAGAACATTTTCCTGCAGGGTTTAGTGAAAATGTCCACAGTAAGAAGAAAGCGTCCAAGAGATGGTTCTGGAACAAACAAATCCTCATCGTTTGAATATACTATACGTTTGAAAGAAGCCAACATCAATGAGTGCACTTCCTTTTCCGAAGCTTTCTACATCAGTGGCATATTACAAACGCAACTTGTATATTTATAATTTTGGCATACATTCTTTCAACTTGGATACAGGCCTCATGCATGTTTGGAATGAGACACAAGGAGGACAAGTATCTCAGGATGTAGCTTCGTGTATTCTCAAACATCTCAAAGAACATGCTGGTACCTTCAAGAAAATTATTTTGTTTTCAGATTCCTGCACAGGGCAGAATCATAATATTAAGATGTCTCTCAGTTTGCTGAAACTTGTGCAGGATCCTTGCAAAGCTGCAGAAACAATAGATTTAAAATTATTGGTATCTGGTCACCCATTTCTGCCAAATGATTCAGAATTTGGAGTAATAGAATCATCCAGCAAGAAACATCACAATATTTTTGTCCCGCAAGATTAGTTCGATATCATCAAAAATTCTAAGAGGAAGCAACCACGCTATGCAGTTATTGAAATGAAGATGAATGATTTCCTTAGTACTAAAGCACTAGAAGAAGCCGTACTCAATAGAAAAACAGGCACTGCGGTTTTGCTGTGAACTGGTTGAAAATTCGGTGGCTTCGTTTTGAAAGAGGACAAGAATTTTCAATTAAATTCGAGGATACTTTCAATGATTTAGTGGATTTCCGTGAAATAAATGCCAACAAAACAAGTGGCCCAGGAAGACATCTGGAGACTCTGAAGAATGTCCAACAAAGATCCCTTTATACTACTCGGAGGCCTGTTACTTCAGCTAAAAAAAAAATTACATGATCAGTCTGCTTCCTTACATTCCTCCAGTGTACCACAACCTCTTTCAAAATCTACCATTGGAAACTTCCACCCGAGCCACTCAACTAACTGCAACCTGAAATTGCTGATGACGAATTGGTTTATGATGAATGATATAAAATGGGAATTAATCGTTGACAAACAACTTCAAATCTTCATATCTCAAATTCACCATAAATGGACTTGGTTCACTTCAGCTTTGAACCCCTCATATATGTATACATTTTTGTATGTTAAAATTCATACACATCCTGTTTTTGCCTGCTTCATCTTTTAACAAAAAAGAAAACTTGAAATTTGGGCGGCCTGATGGAAAGGTATAAGTAGGGTAATTTATGCAAAATCAGTATTATGTACTTTCCAGTTAGAATTGCACCCTTATTGCTGTTTGCAATGAGCATTTTTTAAAATGATAATCCCCTCAAAACAGTTGGTTTCAAATTTTGTTACAAATTATACACTTTTTTACCTAAGCACATGCTGCTATTGATGAACGACAGGAAATTTGAATTTGTTGGCACTCAAGCATTTTTAGTACAAGCCCCTGGACAGAATCCGATAGATTATTTCCAGTAAATTTTCGATGATGAATTTATAGCATAAATTCTTAGAGAAACTGAATTATGCAAATACAGTTTTTTTTCCAAAAAAACTAAAAACGTCTCAAATAAAATGGACTAGTCTGATATTTCCCGAATTAAAAGTCTTTCTTGGACTTTTAATAACAGGAACAGTTCAGTTACCCCGTTTAGCAGAATAGTGAAAAAAAACATTGCTTGCTCGGTACTTGCTTTCACATTATGTCCAGAAAGGAATAATAGTTTTATTAATTTTAAAATGTTTACATTTTTCCGATAATGACAATAACTTCAACGATCAATTAGGAAAGATATATGTATTATGGATTATTTTAATACGAAGATGAAATCTATTTACAGTCGAGGAAAGGATCTCTCCCTTGATGAATCAATGGTTCTATGGCGAAGAAGTCTACAGTTTCAATAGTATATTAAAAATGAACACCATACGTATGGTATGAAACTATACATATACTTAAAGTGAAACTGATGGATTGATGCAGAAATTTATGATATAAGCTGGGGCAAATGATGAAACTTGTGGATCTAGCCATGCTGCTGAAGTTAACAAAAGATTGACTGAATTTAGGACATTCATTGTATATGGATAATTTTTACAATACAATGAAATTAACCAAAATGCTTTTGGAGAAAAATACCTATTGTACTAGCACGTTACACATAATAAATCCAAAAGGTTACTATTTTAAAATTGAAATGAGGGGATAAATTGTTTTTTCGTAATGGTGCCCACATTGCAAACTGGAAAGATAATACCATGAACATTCATTCACTAAAAAACCACCTTTCAATAACTTACCACTCCGACTTTGCAGATTCAATCAGAGTAAATTTATGCAATATGCCTAAATCTAATGTGCGATGCTACCGAGAAAACCCGGGAGCATCTCCCCAATTATTTTAAGACCCTGGGTGCAGGTCCGCCGAGTTCGGCTTCCTGACTCAGAAACGCCTTCAGGCCAAACACATTTCAAGTTAACCTGAAAACATTTCACAGCAGGTTACATACTTGACGGTTCCACTGAAACGCTTGTCCTTTTGGGGATCGTAGTTTTTCAGACCGATTTGGATTTCCACAGTCTCCAAAAAGTTCCTTTTCTTGGTTTTGGAGATTTCCAATACATTATTCACACATTCGTAAAGTGTATCACGAGACACCTTAGACCTAGAAAGGAATGAAAAAATATATTCAACATTCTGAATCGACTGTAATAAATCATATATTAAAATGGTTTTGGTTCATTTTAGATAAATGATTACTTTAATAATATAGGAAAAACTTACGTCATCTTTATTCTTAGGAATTGGCCACTAACCCTAACCACTACTTTTCTCCTCGAAGAACTGAATGAAAAGAATAATCAGAAAACAAATTCTACAGAACAAAACTGGTGACAGATGCATGCGACGTGATGGTTGCCGATACTGCCAACTGAAACAAAAATGTGTTTCTATTAACCGAACAAATGTATGCTCTTTTGTTTATTTTACTCGTCTTTTGACATTTACCGATCTATTATGGAGTGAGGAAGTGGAAATATAAAAACACTAACAAAATATTTCTAGGTTACACCACAAAGTGAGCGACATGTAGAATCCATAATATGAACTTCAATGACAAGGAAAACATTTATCATCGTTGTGAGAAATCGGAATCGTATATTTTTGGTGGGTTAAGGCGAGTTCATATTAGAACGATTGCGATAATATTTTTTCGGTTCCGCAAATTTGGCCCAATTGTCAAAATACCCTGTTCATGTTGAAGCGAGCAATATCTAGGGATTTTATTGTTGAATTTTATTACATAAACCTGAATAATGACATACGACCACCGACATAGTAATGTCGATGCATACGACTCATACGAATTACGACTTTTAAGACCAGACCGCATCATATCACAAAATAGGACTAACAATTTTCTCAAGTTTTGTTTTACAGGAGCGTGTCTTCAGTTCAAACCACTTATCTTAACGTTAGTGCTAACTTAAGTACAGGAGCGAGGGGTTTTTTGCAAAATGAGTTCTCTTTAATGAAGGGCCAACCAAATTCAATAATTTATTGAATAATGGGAGAGTCAGCCTGAAATAGTTGAAATATTTCTCTGGATCACTAATTCTCATTTCAGCCACAAGGTTGTGATATTTTCAACATTTTCTTCTGTTTTTGAAAATATTTCTCATACCATAACAACGGGGTTTTCTCAATAAAGCTTTATATATACGGTAAAGTTGATATAATTTGAACAACCTAACACATTCGTCCATTTCGGATTCAATTTCGATGTACCTATGGGCTTGAAAAACGAGAGTCAAATAAAATAGCAATAGGTATAACCTCAATGTATGTTGACGTATAAAATTTTGCGGAAATCGCAAAAGAGTTCAATTTTTTCAACTTTTTTACGATAAACACGACGCCATTTTAAATAGCACTTTTTATGCGATGTCTGTTCCAACATGAACTAGCCCTTACTGGTGCCTATCATAATACTCGTTTACATAAAATAGAATTTTTTGTAGTCGAAATGGTATCATTCAGTAAGTTAGTATGAATAATGATCTTGATTCAAATCTCATTATGACAAATTATTTTTCAAATTGATCACAAAGTTCGTAGATCTTGACAAAGATGTATAGAAACCCCGGTGTTTCAACCGATTCGCTTTTGATTTTTCAGAAACTATCGACGCAAGAAATGAGACTAACCCAACTTCATACACATATTGATAAATGGAACAAGAATGGTTTTCAAATGTAAAGATTGGTGTGCGTTCAGCTCCTCTGTTTCTGACTGTTTTTGTCAAAATATTTCACATAGGAAGGATTTAAAGAGATGACACCATTTTTCTATGCATCTTGATCTTGACACACACACACTGGCATGTATACAGCACATAACATATTCATAACAATTCCTTCCTCAGAAGCCTCACATTCACGAATGAAAGTTGAAGTAATCTAATATAATGGTAGGTATAAAAACTATAGGTACTTTTTTCATGAAAGGAAAGGAAAACATAATGGAACATGGCTGAGTAAAAAATAGTTCGAGTTACTGATTAAAAATAATGGTTCCAACTCAAAATTTCAGACATCGACACGTAGAGTCTAGCTAATAGATCCTTAAGGACACCCTTTAGAACATTTTCGTCACAACAAGGACACGGTAAATAGAGTCTTGAGTCGTGGTTGTCTTTCAGATCACCTTGAATCAGCTTCGGTGATATTTGTAGCAGGAAATTTACGAATAAGAGGCTAATATCATCGGAATGTTCAATCTAGTCCAAGGAAGACTCCATCTCACTGACAAATAACTTCTCGTTCTATGGAACTCTTCAAACAAAATCTCTCAGACTTTTGAACGTTACCTAACGGAGAAAACCACTTTAAATTATAAGCTACTAATTCAGGTAATTCATTGGATATATTGGTCAAATTAGGTATATTCGACATTGTTACAATTATTCGAGATAACAGAATGTTTACATCATCAGTTGTGTTCAAAATGTGTCTGATTTTATTTCAAACTAAACTCTTTACAAATGTAGAATCTCAACTTTTTGTATAGAGGTGAAGAAGTAGAAAGTCAAAACTTTTCTTTCCCAAATGTTTGGTTTCTTGCACCATCTATCATCATGTGTATGAAGTTTGTTCAATCTCTTTTCTCGTGTCGAGAGTTTAACACAATCATAGTATTAACATTCAGACAATGGTATTAATAAATATCTTTATACTATGACTGAGAATACCTACCACAGAAAAGGGACAAAGGCGGCCATTTTGTGTCCCTTTTTCGTAGATGCATGCGTTGACTTGGTTGTCTCCACGTCATTCTCGGGCTTAGTTGTCTGCATTAGTCTGTGAGCACTGAGTAAACATAATGAGATAGGTAGTTAGTTACAAAAGGTACCTACCTAACTCGGTATACATTAAAATTATGCTATTTGAGCAAGAGTTTTCAGGAGATAATTAGTTTTGAAGAATTCATCGTGAGAGATACAGTAGAAAATTCAGCAATATTTAAGGCACTTGAAATTAAAATTAAAACAATTCTCGAACAGAACAAGTGATGTGTGATTTCTATAGATGAGATGGCTTTAAAATCCAATCTTTTTTTTTATACAGGATGTGATGAAATTATTGGTTTCGAATATATTGTAGAGGCAAATAAGAGGAATTCCATATGTAGAAATGTTCTCGTTATTATGGCTAGATGACTTTGTTCTCCCTTCAAACAACCGATTGCTTTTTTTTCATTGAATCACAGCTACCAGCAAAAAAATCTACGTGATATTTTGGATAAGTGCATTTCTAAATTATCCAATATAGGTCTGCATGTTGATGGCATTGTGAGTGACATGGGCTCTAACTTTTATGAATTGTCAAAGTTATTAGGGGTCACTTTAGAAGAATCTGAATTTGAGCTCGGTGGTAAAAAACTTGTTTATATTTTTGATCCAAGTCATTTGATAAAAGCCACTAGAAACAATTTTTCAAAACATTTATTTCATTTTGAAGGCAAAAGTATATCTTGGTCTTTTGTGCGGTTTTTTTATGAGCAAGACATAGGACAATTTTATAGATTCGCACCAAATCTTACCAAATCACATATCAATCCAAACAATTAAAAAAAAAAGAAAGTGAGTCTAGCAACACAAGTTTTAAGCCGTACAGTTGCCAGTGGAATGAATGCCTTCGTGGCAATGAACTTACTTCCTGCTTCTTCTTTTGGTACAATACACCTAATAGAGATATTCAATAACCTTTTTGATTTGTTGAATTCGTGTTCTTTACGACATTCCTATAAATACAAAAACGTTTTAGAAGGTTCAAAATTCCAATTAGATTTTTATGAAGAGGCTCTAACGTTTTTGAAAAATCTTAAAATTTTCAATTCATAGGACAAAAATGTCACAAATCGAGTCAGATTTTGAAAATGTTGGATTATTTCCATGAATAGTGTAATTTAAATATGGGATGAGCTTTCCAAATCAAATAATAAATATTTAAAAACGGGACGACTCAATTCAGATTGTTTTTAAAATTTTTTTGGTGCTGTAAGACAACAATGCGGAAATACTGTTAATCCGACCCCCATACAATTTCAAAGGGCATTCCGGAAGTTGTCTTGCCAAAATTATTTTCATTCCAATCATATGAATTGTAAGAATGATTTAGATGATTTATTAATCAGTATACAATCCACAAACGTAAATGATATATTTATATCAGATGAGAATCACTTTTCTCCAGCCCTTGCCCTTCCGGATTGATTATAAAAATGAAGATGTATGTACTCAGAATTCATTCATTTACGTTTGTGGATACATTTATAAAAAAGCTCTTCAAGTTCATACATGTTATGTGTGTCACTCTTTCAGAACGAAATGCAGGACTTTGTATGTAAATCGTCTGTTAAGCTATTTTAAAGCTTATACTACGGAAAAAAAACATATTTGGAAATTTGCGCTCACCACCAGATGAATTCATTAATTTTATATATAAGTTGGAATGTTTATTTAACAATCTATTTACAGAAATTTCTACTGGGGGAGCAGTTTCGAATATATTATTCAACGTAATGAAGGATGTAGATTTTCTTCATCCTTGTGAAAATTTTCCAAAAATGTACATAATTAAGCTATTCATAAGAATGAAAAGTTTTTATAGTATCAAATATATTAATAGAGATATATAATACCAAAGGTAAAACTGTACAAAGGAAACTTGAGATTCCGTCACATTTTTAAACCTCAAAACCTCTTAGTTTTGGTAAAATATCTTGTTTCATTATTTTTTTCATTCGGAACCTTACTTAATTAGAACTCTCAGATTGTATTGATGTTGTTAATGAAAGTTTAAGTTAAGATTACATAAAATAACAAAAGTCACTTCTATTTATCCTTAGTGGACTTATTTATTTCAGAGGATATAAAATGAATATATAATATAGGTATTATTCTATTATCGTAACTTTATTTTAATTTTCTATCTAATGAATTGGATTTACAAAATAAAGTAATTCAATTTATTTCTTAAAAGCCAATTCATCATAAATGATAATAAATTGGCAACATAGTTGAATATTCTCTATCATTACTGCGAAAGTTGTTCAATTAGCAATATAAAAATTGAATGGAGTAAGATTCCCTTCACACAATAATTTTATATTTCACAGTGAGCCCACGTACTATGCTAGAACGTGAGAGTATGTATTTTTATTAGTGTATATCGCTGAGAGGTCATTTTTCTCAGTGAACCAGGTTGTTTATCACTCAAAATCTTCGGTTCGGAGTTGGGACACCGAACATCAAAGGATCCGACGTTAATGTCGCTTCTGTGTGGTAGGTATTCTCGGACTATGACACGACATACCAGGGTTTCTATGCATCTTTGTCTGAACTATAATATTGTATATAGATAACCGAACTAACTAGGGAATTATTTTTTATAAGGTTTCATAATGAAATAATGAGTCAATAGATGTCACCCTACACGAGTATTTTTTTTTGCCATCACTGAGCAGAAAAGATTTCTAGAAATTTCAAGATTTTCCAAAAGCGATCTACTTTATCATATATTGTGTATTGTTTGCGCAGTACAATTCAGTTCAGATTTACGCCGTTAATTGTGGGATAATTTTGACACTACTTGTTGTTTGTTTTTCACATAAAAAAAAAGGATAAAGTGTTTTGTGCCACTTGAAAATAAGTTTTACACTGTTCATAAAGTTCAGTATTAAAACTGTCTCTTAACGACATACTAAAAAAAAAAATCTGAATGGACACTAATAAAATGACAAGTGAACCTAACCATCAAAATCCCCCTTCTATTTTCGGTTTTGACCCATATCCACCACCCTACCCGGTAAACTGGAATAATTCAAATCCATTCAGCAACACTGAATTTCGTATTCCCGACATCCAACCTCAGACGTACCCGAATGTTTCAATCACTCCAGCGATTTCCAATGTTCCTGCCCAAGTCCCCCAAATGAACTTTATGATGAATGCTTCCATCCCCAGTCAAGTACAAACTGTCGGAATGGTTCCTTCAATGCATCCGGGGAGTAGTTTTTCCTTTGGGGGTCCGAGACCTGTGCAAGATGTTGTACAGTTTCCATTTCAAATAACGAACAATGCTTTTGGGCAAAGAGAGTTCAGGTGTAAGCGGAAAACTGACTCACCACCGTAAGTAACTTTTGTAGAGTATGAAGATGTCTAGTAAATGTGAAAGCCAAGTGAGAATGAAAATATTGCAGTATATAGGAAGAAGTACTGTAAAGGAGCCACGCTAGCGGAGGTGAAGACGGAAGTGCAAACGTTGGCCTCTGTGTAATTAGTCAGAAAATTGTTGTATTTAAAAATATTGTCATTAAATAATAAGAATGATTGGATATTTTTTCATGAATAACATTTTGGAAAGTAATTTCCTACTACTCTCAAAACCTAAAAAAGTATCTGTGGAGAATGCCTTGATTGGAATGTGTATATTTTGCGAGTTTATGAAAGCCAATATTAATTGTATTTATAGGAAAAATTTATAAATATGGCAAGTTTCTGACAAATTAGGCTCAATAAAAGTTTCGCAGCTTTGCAGAACCGAATGGCACGCTCCTTCATAAACAGAAACCTGTTGAAACTCCATTAAATACATATGTAGTATGTGGAGGTTCTTTTCACAGGGAAGTTCGGTACTTCCTGAGACAATGGCCAGGTTCCTTCAGATAGTTTATTATAGTTGCATTTTCCTAAAAACAAACTATTATTATCAACTCGATTGTGGATTGGCATTCACAAATCTGTTGTTGAAAGAGACAAATCATGTAAAGCTGCAATTATGAATAGTAATGAAGGTTGGATCATCTATAAGTTTAATAGAAATGTAGTAAATGAAACCATGCAAAGAAAGAGAATATTGTTAAAACAAATTTTAGGATTGTTCAAATTTTCCAAAATTGATTTGGTAAACTTCAAAAATGATGATTAATGGAAATGAAAACCATATAGAAAACCATGGTGTTCAATGAACCAAATAAAAATTAATAATTCAGCTTGTACTTTTTAGAAAGTAAAGATACTATATTCATCAGTCAGTTATCTAACCATTTTTCACAAAATATTGGTGCTAATCAAAATGATATGATAACATTCAAAACTATAGAATATTCTCAAACATTGGAAGATACTGTCAGAAAATTATGTTTTTAAAAGTCATTTAATGTGGTGCCTTCTCATGAAAAAAATTATGATTAAAAAAGTTTTTGGATTGTATTGACATTCACAATTTACTTTCAAACTCTCGAAGCTGAATTCCTGAAAAAACATTTTTATTTGAAATTGCATTACAAACTTTATCTAATGATTGGAAGTCATCAATTGACGAAGGCAAATTTTTGTATTTTTTTTAGATCTCAAAAGAGTGTATGAAATTTTTACAGAAATTCCATTGAGAAAAATTGTATAACTACAAATGGGATTTACTGATAAGGTCATTAGTTGATTTGACTCTTATTTTAACATAGATTACAAGCAAGGCCTTGCTCCTGGGAGGGGTCAGAACTCGGCTTCTTGCAGTCACCTTTTTGTGACTTAAAAACAGCTGTCGACCATATTGAGAACGTAATATCGCACTTTCAAGATATTCGATCCAATATTGAAAAAGAATTTTCAAATTCATTTACACAAGCAAAGGATTTATTGGCCGATGTCAGTGAAGATATCAAGCTTCCAGTACAGAAGCATCACGCTAATCCAAATACTAATAACCCTGAACAGTATAACCTTATAACTGTTGCAATACCTCTATTAGAACACTTAACTTAAAGTCATTAAGGCTGTTAGCGATTGCAAAAGGCAATTGTATCCCAACATTTATATGTTGTTGAACATCTTGTCGACTCTACCGGTAACCACGTGTACCCGAAAAAGTCATTTTCCCCTATTAGGCGCCTAAAAACCTACCTACAGAATTCTTGTGGGCAAGAGAGGCTAACTGGGTAGGCCCTAATGACAATTCACAGAGATATCATCATCCCAACTGGTGATGTTATAACAGAATTTGCCCATAAAAAGTCTAGAAGGCTTGATTTTGTATTGTGAATTCACTGAACTAGAAATTTGAGGTTTTTACTTTAGAAAATGAATATCTTAGTACAGTTTTTTCAGTGGAGGACTTTTCCCTTGCTAATGTAATGGTATTTATTTAAATTTGAATTAGCAGTTTTTTTTGAGACCCCCTGAAACAAAAATCTGGGCACGACCTTGACTACTAGTCACAAAAATCAAAACAAGAACTGAAGTGTAAAATCATGGTGTTCCTTGAGGGTCTGTTTCGGAATCATTATTATTTATTCTGTACTTCAATGATATTGTAAAATTACAAAAAAAGTAAAATACAATTATTGGCTGGCAACATATTAGTTTATATTATAGAAAATTCAGCGAATGAAATTAATGTTTTTTTTTGAGAGTAATTTATTTTTTTTAAAAAAATATGTCCATCAAAACATTATTTTCAGTATTACCAATGCACATTAAACCAATACCTTTCTCTGCAGTTTGCAGCCCACCAAACAACACATTACCGAAGAAAAAATGGTGGAACACATGTCGAACCTTCACATAAATTCGGAATCTTCCTCTTCCAAAGAATCCGAGTCGAGCCGCACGAAACGTCTATACATGTGCCAGGAAATGAGAAAATTCAAGACGGATCCCATCCTTCCCCAATGCCTGCTCAACAGAATCCAACAGCCGTGCACAGCTCTTGTGCTGTGGAAACCCCCTATGAGGCTCATTCCAACAGAGGATGTGACAAGTGACGATGAGAATTTGAACAATAATACCGAAAGTGTGAACCTTATGGCAGCAGATGGGGAAATTGATGTCGACAAAGAGGTCAGCGAGAATGTAATGGATTTGGATAATTGTTGATGTGCTGTTGGTCCTTTTCGAGTTTTTAAGACTGAACTATGAGATAATTTTTTTTCTCAACGATTATGCATTTTGAGATGTACAAGTAAGAAATCTGATTTCTACTTTTTCGTTTTTTTTAGTAATACATGAAAGCTGTTTATAAGATCCAAAGTTTGCAGATATCTTGAATTATATCGATTTTGATGAATTTCAACAAAGAAAAAATATAAGTGATTTGCTTGAACTTCTTGACCAGGCAATTCACAGACACAGTTAACAAATACACATAATTTTTGAACAGTAAAATAATACACTATTCGTTATTTTGACTTCAACTGATATATTCAGTGGTATTAAAGAGAAAATCTAATGAAACTTGAAGGTATTAGATATGTGAATGCATTAGATTGATCTGATTCATCGAATTACCCCTTAAACTTTTACTTCGAGCAGTTATTGTGTTTTTTATATATAATTTGTGATAAGTTTTTCCTTTTACTGTTATTCATTCAACTGCCAGAAAGTTATTTAGAAATAGTTCTTATTACTGATTCATTTTAATTAAAAGTTGCTGAAAATAGATTTTGTTTTATTTATACTTGTTTTCCTTCAAATCAATATTGTCACATGATAAAAGGACATTTATTGAATCAACAAAAGGATTTTCATATTTAGATGAAATGCCATGGACCTGATACAAAAAAGGTCGTTTTCTGATGACAAAGACCTGGTTGGAAAATTTTTGGAATTTTCAAAGAAACAAAATTAATTACACAAATAGTGGGTAATATCACAATCAATAGAAAGTAACAAAAAAAAATACAACAAAACTATGAATATAGGCACTGATAGATGGAAGGAACATCCTATGAAAATGTTTTTCAACTTTAAAAATGTTATTACCTAAATTGTTTTCAGAATAAGGTGACTTCATTTTGATGATAGACATGTAGAAAATGGTGAAAGCACGATAAAAAATGTGAATATTTATCAGTTACCACTTTATAGTAATATCTTCACACTACTGTTTCTGGCAAACTTGAAAAAATTTTGAAAGTTGGTATAAGTAAGCATAACTAGCTAGTTATGCTTGCTTATTGAAAAGATTCAAAATCAATCTTTCTATTTGGAAATACTTTGATTCCACGATGAAGCAGGGAAAACTTTTTTTCATATTCAATAATTAAAATGCCCAATTTTCAAACCCACCAAAAAAAGTACCCCTGGCGGTATATGGACGACAAATAGANTTCTTTTCTGCACCATCAGTTTCATTTCCTTTTATTTGACAATCATTTGTCTCTACGACAGATAAGTTTTATTTAAAAGGGGATGTATTACGAGAGTCGGTTGTATGGACTGTTCATAGTTATTTATAGTTGTAACATTGTCATAATATTAGTTCGCAATGCTCTTAGTATAACAGAGGTGGCGCTAGCGTTTAGGGAAAGTTCGAATTCAAAGTCAAATTGTTTTTGTTTGTTTGATTTCAAATTTGAATACTTCGAAAGGAAACAATTTGAGAGACCTTTTCTCATTGTTTGAAATATCTGACAATGTCATCAAACGACGTGTGTTGTATTCGTGGAAATCGTTATTTATGAGAAAAAAATCCCTATTTTTGAACACAAAAATACAGACTTCAAATACGTAGAGGCCTGTTCAGGTCAGAATTTCAAATCTTTGAAGATTTCTCGACAAGAATAGTCTTTTTTCACTCCAGCAATACACCTAATGATTTTTTTCTGTGATACGAGGACGCTATTCCTTCATTTATTTGTTAGAATTCTATACCAGTGCCATCTTAAACATATTTTCTGAACGCTTTTTGAAACATAAAAAACAGTTTTCCTCACATGTATTTTGATCTCAAACAATATCTACATAGTAAACTGTACTGAAGAACTTCCTACAGAAACTGGAAAACCGTCAGATCATGCCAAAATTAACTAAATCCTGAAGTTCCTGCTCAGAAAATAACAGGTAACTGTCGTTTATTAAGATCTAGAAAAATAAGAAGAATGTACTACATACAACTTGCCAAGCTGTATTTATTTGATTGTGTGAGAAAGATTATTGCTCGAGAGTTACTTGGATTTTGAATTTCGATTCTGCTAAAATATAGCGCCCTATTAGTTATCTTCAAGCAACGCTATAATTTAAACATTGAAATTTTTTTCATTCCAATCGATTCCATTGCCTTGATGTTGCCATCTCGTGACCGATTGCTGAACTAATCGAATCGACAGTTTTCTTTCCTCTAATTGTGATTTCTCAATATAATTTATATTCATGTTTATTTCAAACAAGACTGAAAAAAGTCAGTTTATTCCACTATACCTCCATTTTTTGAAAAAAATTAATGCACCCTTCAATCTTTCAATTCCACAAACGATAATCCCAAATCCATTGCAGCTGATTTGTCGCGCAAGCGCGTCAATCAGTTTGAAAATCAGCATGGAAGATGTGTGTTGGGTGGTAATTTTCAACAACAAAACCTATTTTTTTCTAAACCACTGTTTACCTCCAGCAGCACAGTGATTGTTACGAGAGAAGTGAACCTCGCTCAATGCAATGTTTTCCGAAAATGTCCTCGTTCAGACATGAAGCTCATAATGGGTGAGTGATATTTTTTTTGTAATTGTTTATAAACATTCAACCTGTGGGGTGGTTTTTGGGGAACTGACAATTGAAACAGCACTCTCCAAGTTGCCAGAAGACGTGAAATGATATTTGAAAAAGAAGTGGATTAGTTATAGGTTAGATTTGACCTAGATTGCTGAAACTTAAGCCCCTTTCTACATTTGAGCATTTATGCGCTCCAGTGAGTTTTTACAATCATTAGCCGAGCCTTCCAGATCGTATCTATCTTCGCAGCTCCCCATCAAATGATGACACTACGAATTCAACGGGTTTTTTTAACATCGAAGGAAATACACTTTCTGCTTTTATCCAGAAAGGCCCCGGTTTAAAAGACGTCTGAAGTAATGATCCGATTTATTTGTGTGCTCACATCTTTTTGTTTCTCGCGAATTTTCTTATCTTTCCTATCCTTCTTTTCTGCACCATCAGTTTCATTTCCTTTTATTTGACAATCATTTGTCTCTACGACAGATAAGTTTTATTTAAAAGGGGATGTAATTCGTTTTGTTTAGGGTCCTATCTGTTATTTCGGTTGATGATTTTGAGTTGGCTTTTTCCAGTTACATACGTACAGTGTTACCATTGAAGTTGGCCAACATATGGTTTTTTATTAATAGACTTAGATTCAGGTAGCTAGCTCTAGCTGCCTACCATGGATATGTTCTATCTAAACTTTGATGTGGCATAATATTGTGCGCAAATTCAACCTACTTGTCGAGAGTTTTCATTTTTCAAATAACATTTTTTGAGAAGTATATTCTCAATGAGAAATGATAAAAGCTGTAATTCGTAGATAACTTCACACCCGTTTCAATAAACTGGATATAAATACTCGTAGGAGTCTTGATCAACACTCAATTACGAGTATGTTATCTTTCACTGTTTCTTGTGATTGTGATATTTTTCCATTAAATATTCTCATTTTGCAACGTATAAAATGTTCTGTAGTATATAAAGTGATAGAACTGTGGGAATACCTAGTCGTCTCTGAACCGGCCTGGAATGGACCCCTGCCATACTCCTGATAATTTTCTCTGTGATCGTATCAACCCAAGCGTGCTACCCAAAAAACCGGGGGATTTAACGTATAGTTGCATTTTTTTTTGACCTAAAGCCAGTGCATCTGAAATGATTCAAATTGCGATTGTGTGACAAATTAAAAAAATCATTTGTTGTTACTTAATATATATATAAATAATGTGTTAGAAAATTGCATTTTAAATACTGTTCATTATCATATCTCCTCATATACCTTTGTTGGCTTATATTAAAAAAAATAATTGAAATCTGTTTTTTCGACAACGAGAACGAACGACTACTCTCAAAAGTTGAAACTTGTGCGAGCTAAGGATTAACGAGGTCTTACCTTTTAACGTGTGATTCCTAACACGGGTTCGGATGTAACCTTGGATATAACGGACATGTCCATTCAATGCTGTTTCGGCTCCTTTGTAGATAACCTTATCAAAATTTCCGGGTTTTTGAAGCTTTTCAATGCTAATGCTTATTGACTAGATACAGTTGAAATTTTATAATGGCGTAAAAATCGCTTCTGTATGGCTGAAATCTGGGAAGAATATCTGTTTTAGTGTCCCTCTACTCACAAAAAGTAATTGTGCTAAAAATATAGATCCAAATGAGTTTCATTCTCAGTACAAAATCTATTTTTTAGCTTCAAGAAGTTTTGAAGAAATATTACTTCCATCTTTACTAGCCATTTGTGTTGACACAATTGCTTGTGCTGAAAAAAGATTTTGAGCGCTACAAACTCTACGCGGTTTCGCCCGTAGTATTTGCTATTGTGAAATACAGGGTGAGTCAACAAGATTCCTTCGGTCCATTGCTATCAGAGAAAACAATTTTTCGAACTGCTCAACTTTTTTTCGCAGTCATATCGATAAATACTATCTTTTAAAATGATTTTCTCGCATACTGGGTGATTCAGCCGAGCGTGGCCAACCTGAGTTATATTTTTTAAATACGTCATTCGATTCCATATTTTTTATGCTCTCTAAGGAATTTTTGTTTTCGAATTTCCTTGCGATTGCCAAATTATTCCAGAAAAACCTATTTTGCAGACAATATGTTGTTAACTCACCACCCACAGGTCTTCAGCAATTAAGTGGATTTTTTAAGAATAGCTAGTCAATATCACTATGATGATTTCGGGAATCTCTACTTTTGGAAACAATATATAGGATTATTCCAGAAAAACCTATTTTGCAGACAATATGTTGTTAACTCACCACCCACCAGGTCTTCAGCAATTAAGTGGATTTTTTAAGAATAGCTAGTCAATATCACTATGATGATTTCGGGAATCTCTACTTTTGGAAACAATATATAGGGTGTTCGGTAAAACTGGTCAAGTTTTATTCATGTTCAAATAGACATAATTCAACTGTTTCAAATGGAACACCCTGTATTTTTTCATTTGCATGAAATGTTTCAACATTTCACTGCATTTTTTATCAGAGGTATACTATACGAAAAACTAATATTTTACAAATTATACTAAGTTTTACTAATTGTTGTAACCACAAAAAAAATTATTTTCTTACGTTCATTTACTCAAATTTGTTTTTTAAATATTCAAAATAATCGCTAGTACATCTAGTGATAGCTATCAGCGATTTCAACGGTAATAAATGCGTAAAAAACCTAAAAAATATGTATACTTCTTTTTTCTTTAAAAACCCAGTTATCCATGACAAAACATGAATCTCGGAATTTGTAAAAAACGCCATGTGTTGAAGTTTCTTTCGCGTGTAGATTGAATCATTTTCATTATGAATTATGAATTATAAGATTGGTGCAAATGGTCTATGCTTTGGGGACAAGTGACGGAAACTGCCTCCTTGCATCTAGGATTTACGAAGAGAAGTTCCCCGAAAGAAGACCAGATGGAAGGGCATTGGCATTCCTGGCTCTAAAAACAAGATTTGTAAGAACTGGTAATGTCAATCACGAGAAGTTCGAACGTGTCTGCCCTGTATGTAACAAGTGAAGAGAATACATTTCAAATTGCTCTTGACCTTGTTGAAAATCCCCGAGTGTACCCGAGACCTGAGCAGAGAATTAGGATTTTTTCAAACCAGCGTGTCTCGATTCAATTTTGGAATGGGCACACTTGCAGACCGGTTTCGGGCTCCTTAGCCACTCGTCAGTGCAAGATAGTGACCATCATCGACCTAAAGTCAATGATATTCCATAATTGAAAATCGAAATTTTTTCAGAGTATTTCATTCCTCGTTTCAAGTTGGAATGAACATAAAAAATGTCACCCCTACTAGTGGACTAGGTATTAACCAACTGCATATCCGAAATTTGCCCGATTTCTCTGAATAAGGAAGAAAAACTTTCTTATTAGTCAGTGGGCTATGCTTGAAGACAGGCAGTAAACAAATCTAAAGACATTAATTTTAAATGTTCAAGCCCGTCTCGGATTGCCAATTGCATATGCAGGAAATTTTCTGTGAAGATTCCTGCACTGAAGCCTGCCGGATATAATCCAAAGCCGTTCGTGGTATTAGCCAGTGGAGTAGTTGTTATCTGATAGGCGTCAGTCCATTCAACCTACTGTGTAGGTATATCTGAGACGGGCTTGAACATTTAAAGTTCATTTCTTTAGATTTGTTTACTGCCTGTCTTCAAGCACAGCCCACTGACTAATAAGAATGTAAAATAATTGTTCACGAAGGTGATTGCCTCTTCATTTGACAAAAATCTCTGTTCTACAAGTGCAATTTTCAGATGAGAGAACTGAAAAAAATCGCTAGGGGCTAGATCAGGTGAGTAAGGCGGATGGTCGAGGAGTTCAAACTGTAATTCATCGATATTCGCCATGGCGACCGCTGAGGTGCGTTGTCTTCGTGAAACAGGATTTTTTTCTGCAAATACGGCCGTTTTTCCGCAAGTTCTGCCTTCAGTTTGTTAAGTAATGATGAGTAGTATGCTTCTGTAATGCGTTTTTTTTAAGATAATCGATTAAAATAACTCTATGACTATTACAAAAAACAATCGGCATCACTTTGTCAGCCGAAAAAACAGTTTCGTTTTTTTTAGAGTCGATTCCCCCTTTGCAGTCCACTGTTTGGACTGTAGTTTTGTTTCGGACATCAAAAGGTGTATCCAAGTTTCATTTAAAGTAATTGATCGCGCCAAAAATCGTAACATTGATGAATTTATAAAATGAAAGCAATTCTTCGTTAAAGTGTTAGATAAGGTTATATTTCATCGAAACATCTTTTCGCTTCCATTAGTTTGTGCCTCTTTGTGGTCTGTACATTTTGTTGCATTTTTTTTTGACCTAAAGCCAGTGCATCTGAAATGATTCAAATTGCGATTGTGTGACAAATTAAAAAAATCATTTGTTGTTACTTAATACATCATATTAGGTTTTATGTACTCGCGAAAAACTACTAGATTATTCAATGAGAACTTCTCTCATTTACTTTTTGTCGGTGTCCCGTCTGAAGGAGCAGAAAAACGGCAATTTAAATGCAATTTGGGTTAAAGAACGGTTTCATTTCCGCTGCGTGCCAGTTAGTAAATTTAACTAAAACTGGATAATTAAATCTCCTTTTCAGTTCGTTCGGAGAAGCTTCATCGGAAGCTTACTCCGGACTGCCGGATTTCCTTATAACTAATTAAGTGTCCCAGACGATACCCTTTATTAAGGTACAGAGTTGATACGAGTGTTGATTGAATAGTTTTTCATATTACAACGAAACACATATACAGTATGATCAATGAATCTCTCCACGCATCGATTTGTGCATACTAAATATGTAGACAACGTAATGAAAACGAAACGAGGTGCACACTGTCCCGAACAATCTAAACTTTTAAGAGGGACAGTTTTTCAGAACATAGTCAATAGTGTGACATCACTTGCCACCGAGAATGCATTATCAACTTTTTTTTTCAAATCGAAAGGGATATTTCTTATATGAAAGGTATTTCGATTCTTTATA